CTAATTTATAAAAAAAGAAACAACTGATAAAAACCATACCAACACAAATGGACGTATCATGCGACCCATTTAGGATTATCCCAAAATCCACGAAATCATAGAAACCATCACCCGATCTCTCCTGCAGAGTATCGCATAATGTTTTTTTATGAAATACCAGCTCAAATCTATGAGCAACAGGCTTCAACGCATCCACGACAGGTCTCAAAATAAAATCTGTTATCACTATCCATCGGTTCTCCACGATTCTCGACGAAAACTGTGGCATAAGCTCCATAGGTATGATACCGTGGATTTTCCCACCCTGAGATACGATATACACAACACATTGATTACACTACGACTTATACATGCAAACTATACTAAAAAACAATAATCCACAGAACATGAGTTATACCTTATCATCGACCAACACGACGTCAAACCGTCGAATAATGATCGTAGTACTCTTGCCAAAATAGCAAGAACCTTTGCGCGAATACGCCACTCGCTGGTATCAGGATTCAGCTTCGAAAGAGGATACGGCTCCATCCGTAAAAATACAAAATCCCTAAGTCGAGGCAGAGCGAAGATATATTATAACTTGGATGATAAAGAAAAGAGAACGATGCCAGTATTTATATACTTTTTTCGTGATATCTCCACCCGAAAATACATGCATATATATCACCAACCGTGAATTAAATGTCAACAAATATTATTAAAAACTTATTCGGTTTTATCTCTATAATAAGTTAAAGGTAGTTATCATTTTAGCGTTCCAAAAAAAAAGGGAATTAACATTCGTATTTTTACAAAATAAGGAATACGACCTTATCGCTACAGAATATTAAATATTATATAAACTAATATCCCGAAAGATGAAATCTAACTTTACGATATTATATAGATCTGTTTTAACATATGTGATTAGTTGACATTTTACAGAACCATAAATGCATGGGCCAGAGCCCAATAACGAAATGATAATTTGCCATATCGTGGACGACAAATCGAAAGTATTATAGAAAATATACAAAACCGGTTAAGGTAGTTACCATTTTATAGTTCTTAAAAAAGGAAATCAAGATGTGCGTACAGAAATCAACATGTGGGTTAGTTTACAATAAGAATACGACCATATCACTACATATTAATGTACTTATTGTTGATAAATATCCAGTTTATTTGTGAAATTGATACCTCAGCATTATAACGTATAGATTTTATACATGTGAAAATTAACATTTTACTGAATCTTACGTTCATGGGCCAAAGCCCAACTACGGAATAACAGTTTGTCATTTGTCTAAACAATCCGAACGTATTTGGTGGCAAAATAAACCGAACAGAAAGGGAAAAAATAATAAATCTCCCACCAAAAAAAAAACAAAGAGGAAAGTTATCTGATCAACATCCAACAAAGAGTAAATCGTAAATCAGACAGAAGAAACCACATGGTTTCTTGTAGTTCGCAGTTCCATAGATTATTACAATTATATTAGCGCAAGTAATAGCACAGATGGATGACACGATGTTTCGATAACCATCTACCAATTACGCTGAATTGGTATCCCCCAGTCAATCTCATCTTCACTCTCCGGATCAGCCTTTTTTTTATAAAACTGGCTTGTGAATTTGGCACTACACACAACAGAAGAGCAAGAAAGTCAGAGTCAATAAAATCAAAACAAACAAAACCAGTAATAATAATAATTTTATATGATCGGACAAAGAGTTATAAGGAAAAGTACATATATATCTCATCTTCAAGTTCAGCAATTTCAGGATCCAGTAGGAGCTGCGAGCACCCATCTCCACTGGTAACACATCTTTCGGCTATACGAATAAGAAACGATGATTTTATATATCAAACGACTAAAACAAAACACTAACAATATAAAAATAATCGATGGTAAATGCACGTTACATACCTTCTAATCCAGAGATCATCCAAAACCTTAGCACACAAAAGACCGTAGACCCACGTACTCTAATGTCATAATTTGCCTCATTCCACATCTTTGTTAGCTCAGTGCAATGATTCTTCATTGCACAACAGTTTATCACCGTACCTCTTTGTACACAATAAAACTAAGTATTAATTAAATTCTTAGATCACGCCATACACAAAAGTAACATCGATTTACACTTACTCTGCATCAACGATCTGAAAATTGCGATAATTAGGTTGTTTACCAACCTCATCCCAGTTAGCAACATAAGGAAGTCTTTTAACCCTCGAGATCCTGATGATGACTCCATAAAGGTCTGAAATAAAGATACAACATATATAAGAATTAACGGACTACGGACAATATTATGAGGTAAATCGAGTACATTACCAACAGGAAGATCAAGTTTGAGATTTCTCCCCTCAATGATATCTGTGTACGATATAAAATTAAAGAAACCAGATTCTTTTTTTCCCAAAATCGGTTCAATTTTAGTTTTGCAAGTGAACTGGATTATATAAGGACAAGCAGTGTTCCTCAAGACTTCTGGATTAGTAACGACCCTAAAATCTTCAAAAAGAAACCAACGGCCCTGCTCAAGAATCTTCTCGAACCTCTTGGAATAATGAGGATGGGGAACAGTTGACTCAATCTTAACACCCTAAAATTTCAAACAGATTTGAAATTAAATTCAAAGCTTGCGAACAAAATTACCAATAAAGTAAGAAAATTGATGTTATAGATGGAATACCTCCTCGTCAGCTAGTATCATTTTGCAAACACGGCCGAGCCTATCCTCGTTAGGGATCCACAGAGCAAGGATCTTAACACACACAACACACTTATCTTGTCCGACGTTTAGATCAGCAAATTTTAATGTAGCAGCCATGTTCATAAAACACTGATCTTTCGTTTTCTATAATTTAGAGATCAAAAGGAGATAAAAACACATATACCAAAAAAAGCACAAATATATTTAAAGTTCAAACATCGTGTGTTTATTTTAAAGGTGTTATTGCCTTATCAGAACTGGAAACTTACTATTAATGAACAGTAATGTGCTATCACATACATCAAAGAGGAATTTATTGATTGGCTGTTTATTTAGGCTTTTTTTTACTCCCAAGAAGATTGATTTTGCACGAATGACCGTTGATTTTTTTTAATAAAATTTTGTTATTCAAATAAACACATCGTGTATACAGTGTAAATGGTTCAAATTAATTAACGCTATAGTGATAAAGCATAATTTTCATACAAGATTTTCCATTATCCAAATCCGATCGTTTTTAGAAAATTAGAAACAACAAAGATAGAAATTAAAAACAACAAACATTTAAGTTAAACAGGAGATCCAAAGTTGATCCCTTTCAAGCACTGCTCCGGAACACATGAACTTCCTCTCAGTCTCTAGACCGCGAAGAGCCTTTCGAAGCAGACGACCTACAACGGAAATAACAAATCAATTACCAGACCTAAACAACTCCAAATGCTGAATTACATAAAATTAACATCAAACTTCTTACTTTACTCGGAAATCAGCAACCTCAGGCATATCAGGATCAAGATCCAAACGACTGCATCTACCAACCGATTGGATAACCATATGTCCTGAATTAATACGTTACATCGAACTTATTAAATTATCAGAATTATAGAGCTTAAAACATTTTACGGGAGCTATACAGACAAACGGCCGTTACAAATAAACAAAACATAAATTAGATACATACCGGAAACTTTATAGATTCCCCACCACCGCAAAACACAAACAACCCGCGAACTCCTAGTCCTTTTCCACTCATCGTGAAAATGCTCAGCAAGATCTCCGATAGCAACACACGGCAGTACATAATTCCTACAACAAACAAATGTAAACATTAGCCCCTCTATACACGTAGCAATGTTACGAATATAGGTAAAATTAATAAGTCTCACTTTGCGTCCTTAATTTTGAAAGACGTCATCGCATAACCAGCGCTTCGTTTACTTGGGTCAGAGTATTTTATGTCGTCGATATCAACCACATACCCAATCAAATCTAGTGGTAAAAAGAGAGAAGAAAAATAAAAATTAAAAAGCAGAATACATGAACAAAATCAAAGAATATTATATATACTTACTTATCAGGTAAGTTCTTATGAGTTTATCATCCAAAACGTCAAGGAAAGAGGATGGATATAGTGCATAGTGAAGATCGTCTTTGTCAGGTATCAGATTCAAAATTGTCGAAGGAAGAAAATTGATCCGATAATCATGACGCGTAGTTCTCATATCCCCAGTTACCAAATCTAATTCGAAATGATGAAGAGCTATCCAGTCACCATCTTTGAACTCGGAATCATACTCAGTAATGAGTTCGGAATTGATTTTAGCCTCAATCATAGAACCCTATGATAAAAACAGAACGCCAAATGTATATAAGAACATAACATCAACATACGATAAACATCAATAATCTTAAACAAACGCTATTACCCTTTTATCACACAAAATCATGCGTAAAGTTCGATAACCGGCTTCAGATCTCTCACGCCATTTGTTAAGAACCTTAACTTGGATAGACCAACAAAGCTTAATCGGTTTTAAATCGTCGACATGCTCATCCATTTTTTTTTTTAGTGACTGAGATTTTTTTCATGTGCTGCAAATTTAAACCAAAAAATTCCCAATTATATAAAGACAAGAACGTTTTTTTAAAAATACATATTTTCAAATTAAAACGCAAGCACAATTACATTGTTTATTTATCGTTACAATGCATTGCATCGGAAAAACCACAAAAACTGATAAAGACATTATCGAGATACGCATAGATTTGACCATGCATAGAAATACAAGACCTATCGAGTACCATCAATCCAAACCAACAGGGCATCTTTTAGCCTGCAAAGAATCAGACAATAATTTCACATAGACCAATTCCACCACTACGGGGCAATTCGTTTAGTCATGATTTGTCTATTGATATATTAGGTGTTTATTCGTTTAGTTCATGATTTGTCTATTTATATATTCCGTATAAATCCGTTCAAAACAAAAATATACTATTTTTTAAATTATGCCCGTTTCACGAATATTGCATCTTGTATATATTGTAGTTATCTAAATGATAATATTCGGATGTAATTTTAAATGTCAAATTTTTCCGAAGACACAACATAAAAACAATTAATTGGTATGTATATTTTACGCTCACTGGATATTTAGACAATAAACACATATATATAAAATCGATTAAATAGTCAAGGAATAAGATGCAAACCGTGATATTTTAAAAAACTCAATTGTCGAATAACATATATCTTTGAATCACAAAAAAAAAAAAAAAAAAAACAAAAACAAAACACCAACTAAGTATTATAAGAAATCAAGGGTTCAAAATAGTTTTCTCTCCACAGAAGCAAAAGCAAGACGCATCCTCGAAGCTTCATCACACGAAGGATTGAATAAAAGTTCTGTGCAGGTACACAGAGTAGTAGCCCTCATATGACCTAATATATCAATAGACAAATCATGACTAAACGAATAAACACGTACACAATGTATTAGTGTTTAAATAAGTACCTCGAGAAAGCTCTAGTCTAGCAAACCGCATCACACACAGGATGATGTTATCAGCACAAGTCTTCAGACCAGAAAAAAATTTCGTGGCATACCCCTTCGGCAAGCGACAGCGAATACGAATACCCCTGGTATATTTAAAGCATTATAATCAACTACACAAAATCCCCTCACACCGAAGATATATAAACCAAGTTTAGAACTCACCTAACATTCTCTAACTCCAAATATATCTGCTCCCACGTACTATTCACTCCCTCATCCTCGTCATAATTTCCAACACACATGAGACGACCAATCAAATCTACACAAAACAAACGACGACAATATCACGTTCACATGCAATATTTACTGAACATACCAAACAAAAGAGCTAAACTTACCAACACAAACACATGGATCGACTAAACCAGCAAGAACATCTTCAAAACGTACAAACTTAAAATAGTCAACAGAAGCAGTAACCACAGTTCTCTTAAAAGAAGTCGATAGATTCCAAAGAATTTTATAGGCATGCCTAGTTGGCCTAACAGACCCAACAGCGTCGACCAAGCCAAAATCTTTTATAAATATCCACGTTCCTTCGACAAGTCTACTCGAATCATAAGCCAAACAATCCAAACCAATTGAAGCTTGTATCCTGTCACCCTAGAAACAACCGAAGGAACGGTTAAAAAAATCAAAACTAAGATAGAACATGTCGTAACGAATCAGAATCGTTTATAGATTTTGCATGCTTTTAATGAATAGCCTCGAGGTACCTTTTCATCGGCTAGTATTAGCTCCAACGTGTCCAAACGTGAAGAGCAACGAAATCTTCTAATTATTATGAATCTTCCCATCATTCTTTCATTCATAGAAGGAATTAGATCAGATACACAGATGGAACTTCGGGGACGAGCCATCTGAACGCAAGGAAACACTTTAGTATAACAGAACCAACCGCAAAACTATGTATATATATATATATATATATATATATATATAAAAACAAAACGAATTCCCATCGTTAAATTTGGTAGATATTGTTCGGAAAGATACAATAAGATATAAACTTATCACAGCAAAGGAATATTAACATTTAACAATAGAATAAAATATTTTTTTATTAAACAAAATAGATATTTCCATTAACTTTTCTATAACATTGCCAAACGAAAAACAGAAAATTTACATCCACAATAGAACGACATTATATTTGATCAAAATTTAAGCTTATCTTAAGAATATTTTATAATTTTTGTAGTTGACAATCGGAAAGATACAATAAGATATAAACTTATCAAAACAAAGGTATGTTAACATATAACTATTTAATCAAAAAATACCATAGAGGAATATATATATATTCCGATCAACTAATTTTATAGATAATTGCCAAATGAAAAAATATAAAATTTACATTCACAATGGAAACCCTATATATAAAGTTTAATATTATCTAAAATATTTTATATTTAAATGTTATCGATTTTATATTTTAAGGAGCCCTATATATAACACCACGTCGGCGTGACATCTAACCTAAACCTATAGCATCTTTATATATATAACAAAACCTATACATCAAATCATAAGGCACCGAATTATGGGTGATAATCACGACGAAGATCAAGTGTTCAAGGCATGGTTGAATCTAAATAAAATCAACTCGATGGCTAGACAATTAACATTCAACGAAATACCAAATCATTTCACGTGGGATAGGACCAAAAAACAATTTAGGCCAAGGAAAAGAGGACCCCCCAGAGGAGGAGTAATGTATGTTTCGCGTAAGATTAACAACAATCGTCACTTGAAAAGGCTCGCAGGAATGTTAAGAGGACCTACATGTGACGAAGAAGTCAGGACTCACGGAGGTATTGTTTATCCAACATACGAAGAAGCTTGTCGGGCACATGGGATATTAGAAGAATGAAGAAACAACTATTATTACGAATCTATGTATCTCTATATAAAGTTTATTATTATAATATATAAAACATTTTATATGAATTATGGACTTCTTTTTTGGTATTTGTTTATATGCGGAGAGCCCAGTCATACTTGCAAGAATTTAACCGCGACATGTCATGAAATAAGTTTATCCTCGCCATAATATAGACACCGTGAAGCGTAATATCTATCGACGCAACAATTTATACTATTTTGAGTTCGAAAGCAAATAGTAATTAGGGCTACTTTATAATGGCAATCTCTTTTTTGGAAAGATCAAAACAAAGTAAGCTTACATTTTAGATATATTCAACTTTTAACATATTTTAACGAAATCCGAATTAAAAAGGAAAATATTACATATATCTCTATAATCATACCAAACTTATATTGAAAATAAATTTATAACAATAATATTGATCATAAATATCATATTAAGGACGTCATTATATGGTTATAACTTTCATTTATCAAGTGTATTTACGTTTTAATACGTATACAGTAGTAGCATTATATTAATTACGATATGTATATATATCAATATTTTTAATGCATATACTTGTACGCATGCACATATATTTACAAAAATATCATGTATAATTTATGTCTGTCATGAGTGAACAAAAACGACGATGGATGAGGTTGACGTTCAAATATCTAACGATAGTACGATATAATCCCACGTCGGGACGGTTGACTAAAATAAATCATTTACGTTTAGATATAAAATGGCAACATAAAATATATAAATTGCGTCACTGGAATATTTAAAATCTTGGCATTTCTGCCTACAAAACTTGTATAATAATAAAAAACCAAGTAAAAATTAAAACACATGCAAGTATCAATGCATAAAAAATAAAACCAGCACATTAGCTCCGTAACCAATACTATCAGCGGTTCTCACTTACGGGTAAAGAACCTCCGCATCACCAAAAACTCAGGACATTCATGATCGAAGAAGAATTGAGTGCACGTGCAAGCTGTAGTAGCAGTAACATTGCCTAGAAAATAAAATAACTCGAGTTTAAAACAAACAGAGAAAACTATATAAATATTATTTGTAACAATGCAATGGTAGGACCTTTGACGACTTCCAATTTAGCGAATCTGACGATGAGAATTTGGAAATCACCAATCCATTTCTTCCGTTCATTCATAAACGAATCAACAAAGACATCCGGCAATCGGAAAATTAGACGTACACCACTTAAGCACGAAAAAGAAAATGAGTCACAGCCGTTCCGTTTTCATATTATTATAAAGAATTTAATTCATACCTTCGGTCTTTCATCTGAAAAAAAAAGCGATGGTTAACACGATTCGACTCCGATCGTCGAAAATCAAAAGTAACCAGAAGGCGCCCAATCAAATCTGTGCGTTTCAATATACAGATGGTGATAAACAATCTAAATTAAAAATACTTTAAACGATGTAACGCACAACACTTACCAACACAGAAGCAAGGATTTAGGTGTCCTTCTTTGATATCACTAAACTTCGCGAAATGGAAATTATCACTTTGAGAGAAAGGCCTTATTAAATTGACCGAAGTGAGAGCGTTTGAACCAAGTCGAAATCTATGCGAAGACGGTCTAAACCTTCCGAGAGCCATTCGTACAACAAAGTCGGATAAAGTTATGCAATTGCCTTCTATGAGGATAGATGAGAACCGTTGCGCGACGTCCCCACCAATTACAGCATGTATCTTTTGACCCTAATGAAACAAATAAAGGACTAATTAGGATACATACAGTATAAACGTTTTGATGATAGCATATAATTATGTACCTTTGGATCTTCCAGTACGAAATCCACGAACCTAGCGCCATACGCAGGACACACAAACCTCCTAATAATTCTCACCTTAACCCTCATATTAACCATGCCGGGGCCTAAATCAGCAAAATCAACACAAACATCCGGTTGGTCTACGTCACTTGTGATATCGTGTGAGGAATTTTGAGACATTTTACGACTGAAGAAACAGAGAGAATGCTATCTAATCGATCAAGAGGTGATCGTTTAGGGGACACGCGCACCTTTATTTATACCCAAATAAGGAGGTTAATAATTAATAAATAATGTCAGGGATATTCATTGGTCTCACGGTCTACGCAAATTAACATTATATTTAAAAAATGCCATAACAGTATCTTATAAAATTGGAATTTTACCTAATTAGATTCAAACGAATACAATAAATTCGATATAATATCCTTTTATGCTATCAGAATATATTGCTCACCATGGAAACGCTAGATACCCACACGATATTGTCGCTGGACAAAACTGCTATTTTACCATTATGTAAATCGTATAAAGTTAAGGTTTATCGAAACAGTTGATTTGTTACTATCACATTTTTAAAAAAGGCAATTTATTTTTCCGCATAAATTGATATTGTTAATATCCATAATATTATATTTTCATCGGCCTAAACAATCTTATATTTTATTTTAAAAATCTCATAACAGTATCTTATAATATAGAAATTTAACTTTATTGGATTAATCAGAATATAATAGATTCGATATTCTATCTTTTTCTGTTATAAGAATATATTGCTTACCGTAGGAATGCTAGATTCTAAAACAACATCGTCGCTAGGCAATATTGCTGTTGTACTATAATGTCAATCGTATAAAGTTAAGGTTTATCGAAATCGTTGATTTGTTACTATCCCATTTTTTAAAAAATGCGAATAGAAACAATACACCATACTCTGAATTACGCAAATCAAATAAGATTTCAAAACATCCTCCGGAGGAGCCGACTAAAGGAACAAAATATAATTCACTCACGTTCTCGACCTTACCAACAACATCCATAAAAAGAACAAAAAAAGGTAAGCAAATAAAAAGTAAGTGGTACACCATTATTAACCCAAAAAAAAAATACAAATCTTACCACGAACACTATATAAATTTTGAATTAGTCATATATATTTGCATCTTCCAAATCCATTTTATTAGGACCACATGCGTGATAACGGGCCGAAAAGAGAGAGAGAAAGAGAAACCAATTCACTAACTAACTTTATGATAAAGTATAACGATTAATTTGTTTGCATAAAAGAATACACCAACTACTAACATTAAGAACTTAAACCAAATCGCTCGAATAAAATGCCAAAGCCAGAATAAGAAATTATTAGTGATAAATGTGAAGCCAAAAGCATACAAAATCCATTTTGAAAACTAATCGTCCGCTTCCCCTCTATCGTAAAACACATCCCTCATTCTTGTAACTTCAACACATCGATAATTTAGCAAAATCCTGGTACATGTGTATACAGTGGTAGCTCTCCAGAAATCTAATAACCAAACAAAGAATAAACAAAAAAACAATAACGCATTAAATAAATTGAACACAAATAAATAATATATTTAAATCCAACACACGACAGAAAAATAAAAATCACATGCAGGAAATGTCAATCGAATTACCTCGAGTAACTTCTAGCCTCGCAAACCTCAATACACATATGATGATGTTATCAAGACAATTCCTCCATTCGTTAAAGAACGCATTCGAGTATTCATTTGGTAAACGACACTGCAGACGCTCACCCCTTGAGACCACAGTGATATAAATATTTATATATTAATATATATAAATAAATATATTCACAACAAAACGCAAGATAACAGAAAAAAAAAACAGTTAACAACAAAGAAACTCACTCTTCGTTTTCCAGTTCCAAAAATAACTCGTTCCAATCAGAAGCAGGTGGGCCGGACTCTCTTCCATTACCAACCCTCACGACACGTCCAATTAGATCTACATATAAAATTGCACACGATAATATTAAAACAAAAAGCAAAACAATCTCCTACATCAACACATGATAAAATATTATCAATTACACTAAACACATTAACAATAAGAAAATTTGATATTACCAACACATAAAGTAGGGTCCAAAGAACCACTTTTGATATCCTCGAAAGCGACAAACGAAAAGAAATCACCGGAACACAATGGTCGAATGTCCTTAATCGTTGTGCCTGAATTCCATACAATCTTAAAACGATGGGGAACCGGTCTAAAAGCTCCTGTAACAGGAACCAAATCAAAATTAGTTATACTTATCCAATTGCCCTCAACAATTTTCGAGGTGCGCCGATCCTCATACTCCTTGTTTATTACAGCATGAATCTTTTGACCCTAAGACGGTAAAAGGAAAAAAGGCATGTCAATCGATAAATTATAGATTACCCGAAATTACGAAGAAACATTAGATTGGATACAGATTGAGACAAAGCCCAATATACATTAGTTTACCTTTTCATCCACCAATATTAGTTCCAACGTCTCATACAAATAAAACTTTCTTAGTATTTTAACTTTAATCTTCCACTCATGAACAAAGGGATTCAAATCAGAAACACTAAAAAAACATTCTCTTTTACGAATCGAGTTCCTGATGGCATTAGAGAGAAGATGAGCCATAATAGAAACAAATTTTGCGGAATAAAGAAAAGTGCGAGAATATTATTTATTATACATATATATATATATATATACCAAGTATAATATATATAGGCGAGTATTTAGTTTAGGAAGATTCACAAATATAAAATATAGAAATTGAACAATATCAACATACTAAATAAAACAATTTACTTTTTTTTTGATCAAAACAATTTACTTATGATAAGATAAATCTCCACTAAAACAGAATATATCATAAATAAAATCTTCACTAAAACGGAAATCTATCAAATACTATCGAAAATAAATTCAACCTTTTATCTATATATACTTTTTAAAAATATATACATATATATAATCTATCTATATATATGACCGTTTAAATCTAGCGAATATGGTTGAAACTAACTACAAAACATACCATCATTCATAAAAACAGAAGATTATCATATGTCAAATACGATATATATCAATACCGCATAAAGGAGAACATTATCCTGGGTTCATATTCATACAAACCAAGATGATCGGAGTACAAAACCAAAAACAAACAGTTAACATTTCCGATATACACAAAAGAGTCACACAGGCAACGTCCAGACGAATCACACTACACATCCACCGTTAATGTCCTAGTTCGAATCACTTGTCACACCAACACATGAGGACCTAAGACAAAGCAGCAAAACAAAAAATCAGATACAAAAACAAAAAATAAAAAATAAAATAATAATGAATATAGTAAATGAATACCGACATAGTGCAAAATTCAGCAGCCTCAGGAACATCAGGATATGGCAAAACCTTAGAAATCAGCCCCTTGTTAACAATCCTAACATTCTTTGGTCCATCGAAATATCTGTCTACCTTCCACAGACGCATAATACAGACCAAAGGCTTCGAAACACACAAGTCATAGTGCTTTCGGAACTCCACCGCTGAGCGTCCAGACACCAAACCATCGATAGCATTCCCGCTTTATATTTATTCAAGAAAACACAAACAAAACAACAAAAATAAGAAATGATATAATTAACATTTAACACCAAACAGGACAATACCCAGACAAAATTCACAAAGGGAGAAAATATCTATTTACTAACCAAGGCCCACGAATCCGAAAGCTCAGTCTGAAGCCAGTGAGATCTGATGGATTTGTCCCGACATTCACCAATTCACCAACATCAGACAAAACCCCGATCAAATCTAGTTAAGAAACAGACACAACTATAATTCAGACAGGTATTTCCAAACACAACAAACAAAATGAGCATTATATATAACTTACCAATCAAGACACTCTCGTCAACCGTTCCGTCAATTATCGAACTAAACGGAGTAAAGGAGTCACGGGGTTCAACCGACGGTGGATCGGCGGGAAGAACGACAGTCGTTCCAAAGATAGACATTCTGAAAGGATGATTGGTAAGCCTGACTCTATCAGAGTTCTCAAGAACACGAAACTCCGTAAAAGAAAACCATCGATCTTCTTTCAAAAACCCAGCATAATGTTTCGCATATTCACCATTAATCCAACAATCGATCTTAAAACCCTAGACACACGACATAGTCTGTTTAGTAACTAAGACGAATTAGCATTTTCAAATCAAATCTATATAAAACAAAACCAAAGTACCTTATCATCCACCAGAACCAAACGGAGAGCATTCCTAGGATTTATGCAAACATTAATCATGCGCAGAACCTTCACTCGTATGTGCCAACCCGTAATACAAGGGCGCAAAATCGAAACATCATGGAAGTAAGCCATGGAGAAGGAAACAACTAAAATTGATCACTGGCTATAGATACTTAAATAAGAAATCTCGATAATCCGAAAAGACGAAGCAAGAAACCGAAGAGTTTTTTTTATTCTCTGGTTTTTTTTTTTTTTTGTAAGTAGCAGCGTGAATTAATGAGTGGAATTGGAAGTATATTACAACTAACCTAGAAATTAATCTAATGTAGCATCGATTACTGAATAATCAATAATTAAATAAAAATATTTTTATCCGTTCAGAAGATTTGATGATTGGAAACAGCAAATATCCATATTTCGGCTGTGCAATTATTACAAACCATGCAAGATATGACAACACAAGTCATACATCAAAAATCTGACATAATCTCTACCACAAGCTAATATACAATATAAAATAATTAGAAAATCTATAAAGTAGTTTAGATAACTTCAACGAATCTAAAGATAACGACATATTTAAAACTCGAACACAAAAGATAATTGTTACAAAGCCCAAATAAATATCTCAACATGACATATAATAACATAACACAAGAAGAAGAGATTTTTACAAAAAGAAATTAAACCAACAGAAGAGAGTATCCATGTTTATGCACACTACGGAAATAGGGATATAATTCTTGATTTACACCAAGAACATTAAAAATTCTGATCAACAACTTCACCGGCGTCATCACAATCCTCATCTTCTTCAATAGCCCATGTTACCCTAGCTATAAAAACAGACCTGAGAATAAAATTTATCAAATTAAACAAAATAATAAATTTGAACCCATAACAAAACCAAACTACATATATAAACACTAAAAAATCACAATAATCATTTACATCATCCTCAAGTCCTTGATCTCCGATAATGTTGGCTCAAGATATATCTTAGAACAACCAATTCTGGTGGAGATAGAAGGTTCACCTATAGCCACATCAACACAATTTGAATAAGCCCTTTATATATACTATCTATAATATATTCGACACCAATACAACAAATGCATACCCATGAACTCATCGACTTTCCAGAAACGCAACACACAGAAAACAGGTTGATAACGGAATGAAGCCTGGTAGCCTCGGCTTGTCCACACATTCATAAAATCAGCAGCATAATGACCAAGCGCAAAACATGGCATCTCCCTACCTCTGTTTTATTAATCACCGTTCAAAAACACTTAAGATCAGTGACAGTCTTTAAATAAACTCTACATAATCACAAACAAAACCAAGAATAACCATGGACTAAATATAGCACCAACACAAAATCAAATTCATAGACTTACTTCTGATCCATGAGACGGAAATATAGATAATTGCATGCAGTACTTGCATCATACTCTCCGGGAACATAAGTCATCCTTTTGATTTCGGACACATAGACCACTACTCCACATAAATCTAGCAAACTCACAAAAAGAACACATATCACTACAAATCATACCAATAGAGACATAAGAGGTTTCTAACAACACAGAACATCTAACAAATAAAAAACTAAAGATACTTCAAACATTAATAGAAACCAAAAAAGAGATTAGCTAATAAAAAGAATGTGACACACCAAAGGGACGATTTGCCTCCAAAAGCCTCCTCTTAATGACAGAATATTTTGCAAACACCAAAAAATTGAGCGAGGATAGATTATAAATCAATGTCATCTTTGTATCACTGTGGAACTTGATATGGAAAGGGTGAAGTGTGTTCGGGGTCCTCCGGATCGGAACAGAAACAACAAAGTCAGAAATAGTATACCACGCATCTTCCCTTAACTCCCTCATATCAACGTTATGGAAAGGACCACAACCGATTGTACCCTCAATTTTTGTCCCCTAGGTACATGCAAATCAACAAAAATAAAATATTTCTTAACACAACTAAACAACAAATCACAAACCAAAGACAAATATTCCTTAAAGATTTATAATAAAATAAGCAAAACTATCAAATAATCTAGTAGATCCACCCAAAATCAACAAACCAACCGATAAAAAGAAAAAACGACAAAGACACACGCACCTGCTCGTCGGCAAGAAGCATTTCTGTTTTACACCTAAATCCGTAGAGGCGAACCCTCCAAAGACTCAGAATCTTCACCCGAATGTACTTAACCGTCCTACCTCGAGCAAGATTCGAAAGGTAAATTTGCTCGGACATCTTTGAACGAAATCACCGCCCAAGACCCTCAGTTTTCTTTCAGGAATCAGAGAGAGATAGAAAACCTCGAAATAAATGAACCAATTGTATACAGTGCACATACACGGTGGAAATTGAACTAAGCAGTCATAGCTACAAATTTTTAAATTTAAAAATATCTTTTTCCTAATAACTATTTAAAACATAAGAATAGCAACAAAATAATATTAATAACTATGTGAATCTCTAGATTATACACGAAACAAAACTCACAACATATTAAGATAGATAACACCAATAAGAATAATTAGAACCATCGCTAGTATTATATAATGAGTTAGATCGACATAAATTTTAAAAACAGAATATTAATCATTAACTAAATAAAATATATAGAAGCCAAAATAAATAGCAACAAACTCAAATAAAATAATTACTCATCATCAGAGTCTTCAAAGATAGGCCCCGATCCAAAATTTGGTACGGTTTGATCAATACCAAACACCAAAGGGTATGATCCGTATTTATCAACAGATACATCACTACCCTTAGCAATATAACTAAAAAACAAATAGATACTGTTGTAACTCATAGCTTTGCTTCCAATCTCAGCCCTCTACATCAAAAAAAAAAAAAAAAAAAAACCCAAAAAATCAATAGACAATAGAAAACAAACAAATAATTTAGAAAACACGAAGACATATATAATAATAGGACATAGGATCTAACAAATACGTAAACTACACACAACATACCTCTTTCAAATATTCGGTCGTAATGAATACTTCAGCCCACTCAAAACCTTTACAAACAAACGAAACAATTAAAATCATACCTTATAGAATGGTAAGATATTATGATGTCCATATATGCAAGTCATGACACATAAAACAATAAGAGAATAAACATACATGCTTATAAAAGCCCACGCGATCCGTAAAACACGACGGAGCAGCAAATCTTCTACGCCAACTCCGTGTGGTCTAAAACATCAGAGAAACAAATATATAAAGTAAACATAAAACGATTATTACGTTACATAATAAATACACAATATTCGACAAAATACCTTATTAAAATAAAACATATCATTCGTGGATCTTCGGGAGGAGGAAGCATCAGCGGTTACCTAAGCCAACGGTACGAAATAAGAATAAACCGTAACATTTGATTATCGCGAAAATATATATACAAAAAACAAAAGCCAAATCCGACAATAACCAACATATTAGACACAAATAAGAGAAATACCTGTTTCCAATAAACCGACACAAACCGAGATATGAGTTCATCGAGTACCTTCAAAATCACGGTAAGATGAAAATCAAACAATAACATGTCAAACCTTACACATAAACTCAAAACTATTTGACAATTTAATTATAAATCAATACTAAACAATAAAACGCAATAAAATCGCATATAAAAATATATACGATAACAGGAAGAAACACATAAATTTATATAGGCAAATAAATATAAAAATATACAAATCAAAACTATGGAAATACCTTCCCAAACCTCGTTATTTGCTCGTCAACACCACCTTCGTCGGAGAGCTTTGTCGATGGAACCTCCCACGTTATACAAAACTGAAACACACACCAAAAACACCAAATCAGCAAAACAATAAAGCATCGAATAATGCAAAAAAATAAAACAAACAACACAAACAATATGCACACGACCTTTAAAGGTCCATGAAAACAATATTTGCATGACAAACAACTCGATTCATCAGAATCGTAGTAGCTATATAAAAAAACCATAACGGTGAAAACTATCTAATGGCCACAGAAAAAATAATACCTAATCCTCTGGCCGATCAACAATATATATAGCTTTAAGATTAGGGCAAACATCAATCATTATCTTAAGAAATTTAACTTTTTAATTAGAAACTAAATCAGAAAACTAACAAAACGAATATTAACTACTAAGATATAGAATTATCCAAAAAATTAACAAATAAATTTAAGCTAAGATTCCATAATCGTTAAAGTCGATACATTATGACATCCGTATCCCCAACGATTACACTATAAAATAAAAAAATTTAAGGGTGATTAAGACTAATCATCACAAAACACGATTAGACTTATATACCCTTAACAATTACGAACAAAAAATTTCGAATTAAGGGTGTTTAGGACATTATTATAGAGATCAACACACGATTAGACTTATATACCCCTAATTACGAAGAAGGAGAAATTTCGAGAAGAACAATTCATTAAGGGTGTTTAGGACAAATCATTCTAACTTTTAACCACAGGCCTCCAATGCCCTAACTTTCAATATGGTGCGTTTCTACTTCTCAAATAATTATTGTAGAGATTTTAACCACAGGCCTCCAATGCCCTAACTTTCAATATGGTGCGTTTCTACTTCTCAAATAATTATTGTAGAGATGAGAAAGTATCAACTGATAATTTGAGTTCTAAATTTCGTTGTCCTTTTATAGTTTTTTCCTCAGATTTCGTTCCTTTTTTTTCTTTAACCAAGTCTGATAAAATAATGATTTTACCTCTTAGATCACATCAATAAATGTTAGGAGGTTATTGTATTAGGCGATTTGTGTAGTTTAATTAAACAAATGTTTCAACTTCTTTATATATTTTGTTCAGTTCTCTTTTGGTTGCTCAATCTATCAATAACGTGAACAAATGTGATCTGCCTCGGCTTTTCGAGACTCGATTCTTTGTTTTAAAGAGAGAAAAGTAGAACACTCATGTTAAACAACAATTTCTAAGGACCAAACTATATAAAAAAAACAAGAAGAGATTAATTAAGGTTTTAAGAAATTTGAAGGAGTTGGGAAACGCTTTAGCTCATAGGTGGGCTGATAGGACTATTTATTAATACGGACACATACGTATCATCAGCTTTATTTGAGATACTAAAGACATTTTCTAATTCCTTTTCCATCAAAAAAAACAAAGTGAAACTTTAGAAACTTAGGGAAACATCAGTGACAACAAGTCTCTTTTACTTTTCCAAGATTAATTAAGAGGACTCTGTTCCAAAAAAAAGAAAAAAAAAAAAGAAAGTGACCAAAATACCCAATTAGATTCAAATTCTTAAATGCTTATAACAAGTCAAGTCATCAAACAACATTATCTTAAGAATTCAAGAAGAGCCTCCATGTCTACACACTTTTGCTTCATGTCCTTCAACTCTTCCTCAATTTCTTGCACACGAGTCTCACCAATCTCTTTCAGTTTCATTTCCAACCAATCCAACTTAAACCCTGCTTTTGTCAAACAAGTTAGCGTAGAATACGCATTGGCCAGATCATCAATGGAGAGTTCCTCAGGGGACTGACACAGAATATCAGTCAAGCTTAGTAGACTATTCAAGGATGTTGTTCTCAGATGTGGATTCTTTGGACGGAATTTTGATGCAATGTCTGGGTACTCTTCAAACAGACTCTTCACAGATTCTACCTGCAAGTGAAACATGGACGTAAAAGTAAAACCAAATCAGATAGCAGTTTTTGGAGAGCTGAAAACATACCAACAAACCTATATACAAGAAACTGAGCTTTAGAGAGAGACTCTTATGTATTTAAAGTACTTTTCATACCTGTGAAGGAAGAACTCGAAATCCATTAACATCCACGCTTTTGTTTACTAATAAAGTTTCCTCTAACACATCTGATTTGCCAAAAACTTCAAGAACACCAACCTCGGCAACAACCTTGACTTCTCCATTCACCAAAAACCCACCATTTATGTCAAGAAGTTTGGTAAGGGGAAGCATTTCTCGGAAACCCCAGTTGGGAGACTTCTGATTATACCAGGTTGGTTGTCCTACTGTAATGTCACAAAAATAAAACTTAAGTCAAAACATAGGTTTTAAGTCCTATGAGTCCATGAAAAGTAGAACCATAAAATATAATCTTCCCTTTGTCCGCCTTAGAAACATATATAATCTAGCGAATGTAGAAATAATCACCTTTCTGTTGGGAGAGTTTCTCCGAAGTTTGATTAACAACAGTTAGGCGATATTTTGTGTGTCTTTTCCATCCATAAGGCAAAGATTCAGAATCAGCAACTTCCAGAAACAGAGACAAACTTTTATTTTCATGATCCACACATCCCTTGGGATAGGCCAGAAGACGCCTGCAAGTTCCAGAAATAGAGAAAACTTGTTCTTTGTTATTGCAAAGGAACAATATCACGTAAACCTAAAATAAACGAAAACATTAGAGAACAAGTTTTCTTACCATTTGGAGCCACCAACTACGAAATTATCAGAATAAATTTTCTCAGATTGCAAAGTGGAGAAATTCTTGATCGTCCATGTTATCTTCTTTTCATATTCCATTGATCTTGATGAAGACTCCTCACAACCAAACTACCAGAACATGAAGGTAAGTTAAAATCTAGAACCCGAGTGGCACACAAGCTAAATTGTTAATAACAAAATCAAACATCAATTTTAAGACAAAAAAAAAAAAAAGAGAGATGAAGATTACACTATGAGTTTCGAAGTTAGAACAACACAAGCACAGTTACACAGACAACAATTAAGTAGCCTAATTAAGAAAACGCAGGCTCACTTCGTTTTAAAAGCATCTAATAGGTTTCAATGGGAATCTTGTTGATTACGAAAACTAGAGAAATGTGAAAACGCTTTGGCTCCTCAACCTCATTGGTGGGCTGATACGACTAATTATTGATACGGCCACATATATTGATCATGATTACAATAATTGTTTTTGCTTTGAGTCCAAAGAAAAATTTGCAAGAAGAACACATAGTTTTTCTAAATCATTTTTTAAAAGCACTAACCTTAAAAAATGAAAAAAAAAAAAAAAAACACATTCACTAACACCATTTTTTCACCAAGGGTGATAAAAAAAAATGATTCACCTCTCTTAGAGCATCTCCAACCCACCTCCATATTTGCTTCTAAACTCTATTTTAGAGGCAAATCTACTCCAAACCACTTCTATTCTCACCTTTAAAATAGAGATCTCTATTTTTTTCTCTATATATAGAGGATCATATAGAGAATCTCTATTTTTTTCCTATAAATAGAGTGAAATTTTTTAGAGGAAAAATAGAGGAACACATTG